AATATTGCCACTCCTGCTCTCTTACAGTTGCCATTTGCTTGATATATCTTTTTCCAACCTTTGATTTTTAGTCTATTTTAGTCTTTGTCCCTAAAGTGTGTCTCTTGGAGACAGTATATTGATGGGTTTTGTTTTCTTATCCAATCTGCATCTCTCTGTCTCTTAAATGTTACATTTAATCCATTAACATTCATTGTAATTATTGAGAAGTATGAATTGGTTGTTGTCATTTTGTTATGTGTTTTTTCATGGTTCCATATTATTTTCTGTGCTGAGCTCATTATGTTTATGAATCGTGTTATCATGTCCATTGTTGCTGTTGTTTTAGCATTTGCTGAATATTTGTGCTTGTCCTCTTTTTTATTGTGATGTGAAGATTTATCATTTTTCTTTTAGGTTACCCTGTGATTTATAATTTTCTCCCCGAGATTAGAACAGTCCGTTCTATCTTGCAACTCTCTTGACTTTCTCACCATTTAGAAGTTCTGTATACAGTATTTTCACTCTCTTTGGTTTGTAGTTGTCTTCACTTGCCAATTGATTTCTCTGGTTTCCTGATTACAATCTTGTAAGCTCATTTTACTCTGGATATATGCATAGCTGTGGTTGTGTGTTTATGGTCGGTTGTTATTTGCTATTTTTGTTTCCTTGTTCAAAGGACTCCCTTTGGTATCTCTTGCAAGGTTGGTCTGGTTTTTACACATTCTCTAAGTTTCTACTTACCTGGGGATCTCCTAATTTCACCATCATATTTGAGGGCATTTTTTCCAGGTATATAATTCTTGGTTGAAATTTTTTCTCTTTCAGGGTTTTATGTATACCATCCTGTTGCCTTCTCGCTTGCATGGTTTCTGCTGAGAAATCCGAGCTTATTTTTACTGGTTGTCCTTTGTAAGTAACTTTTTGTTTTTCCTGTGCTGCTTTCAGGATTCCTTCTTTGTCTTTCGTTTTGGTGAGTTTGATTATGATATGTCTTGGTGATTTTCATTTGGGGTCTATCCTGTTTGGGGTTCATTGGACTTCCTGAATGGATATATTCTCATCTTTCATCATATTAGGGAAGTTCTCCAACAAATCTTGGACAATTTTCTCAATAGTTTTATTTTTCTCTTCCTGTTCTGGAATTCCAGTGATACCTAGGTTATTCCTTTTGATGATATCCCACATGACCCTTAGGCTTTCTTCATTTTTCTTTGATCTTTTTTCTGATTGATCCCTTTCCAAAGAAGTATTTAGGTATTTGTCTTTAATCTCATTAATTCTGTCTTCAGTTGCATCAGTTCTACTCCTTTGCCCTTTCAATGTGTTATCTAATTCTGACAATTTACTATTAATCTTCTAGATTTCTATCTGTAGATTTAGAATCATTTCTAATTTTTTATTTATTTTGTCATTTTGTTCTTGTATTTTCTTTCAGAATTCTTCTAGAGTTTTTTCTGTGTTTCCCTTGATCTATCTCTCAGTCCTTTGAAGATACCTAAATATAATTCTTTTGAATTCCTTATCAGAGAGTTCCAATGCTGCTTCTTCCTCAGGGATGTGTTCTGGGTCTATATCCTGCTCCCTTGTTTCTACCACTTTATCTTGCTTCTTTGTGTGGACTATGATGGTCTATTGTCTCCAAGACATTGTGACGTTGCTGTATTTAAATCTCTGTTAACTGTTTGTGAAGAGCAGATAAAGGTGAGTCAGGCTCTTCTTGGTAGCTGTTTATTGTTGGCCCATTGGTGAAGGAAGGTTGGCTCTCAGTAAGTGAAGCTTCAGGAGGTATATGTGTGTGACTCAAGTATGAGTCATACAAGTATTAAAATGCATTTAATCCATTAACATTCCTTGTAATTATTGAGAAGTATGAATTGGTTGCTGTCATTTTTGTTATGTGTTTTTTCATGATTTCCCTGTTCCATATTATTTTATGTGCTGAGCTCATTATGTTTATGAACATGTTACCATGTCCTTTGTTGCTGTTGTTTTAGTATTTGCTGAATATTTGTGCTTGTCCTCTTTTTTATTGTGATATGAAGAGTATGAGACTGTTGTTGTGTTCCACTCGGTTAGACAAAAATAATGATTGACTAACCATCAAAACAGTAAAAGCACATGGACAAAAAATACACCATGTAATCACACAGGAATAGTAACCAAAAAAGAGAAAAAGAAGAAGAAAAAAAAAAACCCTACAATATCTGGGAAGAGGGCAATAAGAGAAAAAAAGTAGAGAAGGAGAATAATGAAGGAAAAAATGGGAAAAACAGAAGAAGAAAAACAAGGAACCAATGGGCTTAACCACGAGAAAGAGAAAACATAACTGCAAGCAGAAACAGGGAAAAGAAAAAAGTTTAAAGCTAGAACCTGGGAGGGGAAGAATAAAGAATAATAGTAAAAGGGACAAAAGTAATAATAATAGTAGTAGTTTTAAAACAGACAAAAACAAACTAACTAAAAAACAGAAAACAGAAAAAAAAAAAAATCAAGGCAGGGCGGCACAGGGTACCCAGGCTCCGTCTGAGCACACAGACTGGGATGGAATTCCTGCCAGCCCAGAAGGTGGGTGGGAGTGAGGGATGTCCTCACCTCCGTTCACCAAGAGGGTGTGGGATATAAGAGTAACAAGGGCAATGATGCACCTTTCCAGTCGTCCGGGTCCAGAATGTCCTTGGGGTTACCGGCAAGTGGAGCCTGTTCTTAAGGCCCTGGAGTCTGGTAGAATGCTGTCCTTTTAAACATCCAAAGTGGCCAAGCCACTTGTAAACATTCAAACTGGCTGCACCCTCTGGACAGACTGAAGTCCACAGCTCAACCTGCCTTCCTCTTCGCTGCTTCCCCTTTTATTCCCCAGCCACCAGAGCAGTCCTCTGTGCAGTCTCTGGCTAGCAGGCTGATTTTTAGGTTAATTCTTAGGTCCTACCATCACTCCACAATATCCAAGCTGTCTGTACCATCAGGATCGCTGCCAGACCACAGCTCCGTCTGTCTCCTTTTTTGGTGTTTTCATACAAATTCTTCTGCTAGTTGGACTTTAGTCCACTTCTATATCCTTCCCTTCAAGGCTCAGGGGTCCAGGATTATCTTCTGTATCTATGTTAATTGGTTCCCCTTTTCTTTGTTGAAGAGGATCTGTGCAGTCTTTCTGCCTATTCCGCCATCTTACTGGAACTCCCCATGATTGTGTTTCGATATTCTCCCAAAGTATCAATAACCAAAATAAATATTGAATTATTGAATTCAACAAAATGGTTTTGTTTAGACTTCTGTGGTGAAATTTGGGTTCAATGCCCAACTATCCTTGGACCCAAATTTGCTCTGTTGTATTCAAAACTCTGGTTTTTCATTTACAGATTGTCAACCCCTGAAGTTGAGTGAGATCACTATTTCTTTTAAAGACAGAGCTCTGGGTCCCAATCTTATATATATATTTCTTCTTCCTCCTTGTATGCTTTTTTCCCAACTCTGTCCTAACCATCTAGGCCACATACATCAGTTTAGTACACTTTTACATGCTTTCCTATAATAGAGTGAATTCAGAGTATTTAAAATACATATATGGATTTTAACTTACCTGATACTGATTAAAATTGTCAGTAGCAGTTACCTGATACATTTACCATTTGAAGCCAATGAGTTTGTGCTTTGCTGACTTGTGTGAGGTAAAATACCTGAATGAGGAAGGAGAAAGTCTATTGCTGTTAGGTGTCATCATGTTAGCTCCAACTCATAGTAACTCTGTATATGACAGAACAAAACACTGCCCAGTCCTGTGCCATCCTCTCAATTGTCTATTAAGGCAGAAATAGTAGTTAGGATCCAATGATTCCAATAGAGAAAAGAGAGCTGTCCAGCTGAAGTAGTCGTAGACTGGAACTAGTCAGTTCCCTGTTACTGGCTTTACTCAGGCAGAGCTCTGTGTCTGCCAGGAGTGTCTAGGAAAAGTATCCTTCCTCTAATGAGTGGGTGAGAGAGAGGGGGGTCAAGGTGGATATCTTCCTTTTGCTGGGTCATTTGTTGCTTTGGCTTTTCGATTAGTTATTTAACACAAAATTTTCTTTTTCTAACAGGAAATAAAGGAAAAAAAGAAATTCTGCAAGATGTATGTAGAGGACCTTGTGAAGGAAGCCACAGAAATCAACATGAAAAATGAGGCTTTGCAGAAGCTTTGGCCGCAGATGTTTATTGAGCTTGTTAGGGACGCAGTCATAGAAATCCGCAACAAAAATTCATATATGAAGCTCTGCCTACAGCAGATAACTGACCAAAAATAGAAATGGATTTTAGTCTCAGTTGATTTTAACAGTTTTATTTTTTTGAATGTTAAAAACATGTAGGGTAAACATGTTAAATCAACATCACCACCACTCTCCTACAAACTAGAAAGACTAGCATCAAACATCATAGCCTCGTCTTGCCGTTGTTGAAGGTCAGAAAGGAAAGAGAGAGACAGGGAGGATTAATTCCTTTATGTAAAGAAAGACTGAACAACCTTTGGGAATGAGCAGATTTTAGAGATGGCTTGGGTCTTGAGCTGGCATTACATCATGGGCTGTTGCTTTGATGCCCCTGCTATAGCCCAAAGCACGCAACCTTTGCTCTTGGTTCAGCATGAGTTACTTCTACCTACTTTCAGCTGGTAGTTCTTAGTTATTTGCCTTTTTATTTTATGTCATGATTTCAAAGTAAAAAATATGTTCTTTTTTATGAGTAAATAATAAACTTATTAATAAATTAGTATTTAAAAAATGTGTCTGCCTCATTAATCCAGTCAGAATTGTCACATTTATTGTATGTTCTTCTTCAGCTGGGTAGGATCCCTGCCATTCATTTATATGAGAGGAAGCCCCATGCTTCTAGAAATGCATCCTCAGGGCACCACAGGGAACCCTAGAAGTCAGTGTAGGGGTCAAATACAAAAGTAAGTCAAAACTGGGGCAGGAAGAAAATGCTTTCTCTTAAGGGGTTCTGAATGAATATAAAATGCAGTCAGAAATCAGTAAGTCTGCTTCTCTGAAAGGTATTTCCTTCTGTTGTTAGCTATTCTGAGGTTCTTTTTTCAGATAAACATGTATGCTTGTACCTTAGAAGTATTAGTATAGGTGAAACATACCAATTTTTCTAATTCCACTTGTAGATCAAACAGACAAGATGCATTTAGGGTTTAGGCCTAGTACATGCTGGGGAGGAGGGTGGTTGGAGCCAATTACCATAACTAGACATGATACAACTTTATAAAAATAATCTTACTGGTCAATAAATAGGAATTTTCCAATTTTTTCAGATTTTTCCCCACAGCTGTTTGCTAGCAGGATAACCAGGATGTGGGAAAACAAGAATAGACATTATAAGGCAGCCAAATATACAGAGATTCTTGGAACGCAGATGGATAGGCTGCTTTTGTTGTTCTAAGAAAGTTCCACATCATCCTTAAGAGCCTTTGATCACCTCCCCCACCAAAAAAAAAAAAATTGCTCAATTTAGCATTGTTGTGTGCCGTCAAGTCAGACCGGACTCATAGCGACACCCCCTCCCCCTTGGGTTTCCAAGGCGGTATCACTAAGGAAGTAGATTGCCCAACCTTCCTTCGAGGAGTGGCTGGTGGGTTTGAACCACCAGCCTTCTGGTTAGCAGTCAAGTGCCTTTGGCACTATGCTACCAGATCTCCAGGGTAGCATGATGTCTCAGAATTTGGCCTGTTAAGGCACTCTGTCTTGGGTTTGCATGTTGGCTTTTAAGTTACCAGCTTACTAGCTTGTGACCCATCTGAACCTCAGTTTCCTCATAATAGTACCTACCTCATAAGATTAGTGTGAGGATCAAATAAGATAGTACATGAAAAGCATTTATCATAATGCTTCGCACACTGCGTATACTGAATAAACATAGCTATTGTTCTTTTGGAACAGGTTAGACCATACAGGATTTGTGCCCCAGGATATGAAGAGCTATGAGTGTTGCTTGATGGTATTTCAGCTTCTCTGCATTGAAATACATGGACATCTCTCATCTGGCTGATGAAGGGTGAGCATTTCAGGGGTTTTTATCTTATTTGGTATCAGGGCTTTGGACTGGTTCCTACCAGTTTGATCCTTTGCTGAGAATTTGCATTTTCACCTCAGATATACTGAATTAGAATCTACAGTTTAACAAGATCCCCAGGCAGGTGATTCTTATAGATCCCGGGTTGAACCAGAAGCCCTGTTTGGAGTAGAAATAAGATCCCATCTTGAGGGTGATGTTGAAAAGAGAACCAAGAATATCTTGTCCTTGGCCTTCTAGTGAATAGGAAAGACTCACATTAGAACTTATGACTTCTCAGGAGTGTGGAAAACTGTTTTTTCACTCTAGGTTTTACAGGTGTAAACAACCAAAATTTGTATTAGTTTTGTAGGGCTGCTGTAACAAAGCACCACAAAATGGGTATCTTATAAGAACAGAATTTATTTTCTCATAGTTCTGGAGGCTGGTATTCTGAATTCAGGGTGATAGTAGGGCCGTGTACTTTCTAAAGACTCTAGGGAAGATTCTTATTTCTCTTGGCTTCTGGTAGCCTCGGGCATTTCTTGGCATGTAGATGCATCACTTGTCTGTCTTTCCTGTCTTTGTCTCTGTCTTTGTTTCTGTTTTATGAAGAGCTGTGGTGGTGTAGTGCCTAAGGCATTTATTTGACTGCTATCCAGAAGTTTGGTGGTTTAAACCCACCAGCCGCTTTATGGAAGGAAAACTGGGCAATCTACTTCTGTAAAGATTTACCACCTTGGAAACCCAAAGGGAGTCGCTATAAGTCAGAATCAACTTGATGGCAGTGAGTTTGGTTTTTTGGTTTTACTGTTTTATAAGAACACCACTCAGACAGGATTAGGAGCCACCCTCCTCTGACAGGACCTCATGTTAACTGATAACATCTTCAAAGATCCTATTTACAAAAAAATATATATATATATATATATATATATATATATATCCACAGGTACTAGAGGTTAAGACTTCAACATATCTTTTTGAGAGATGCAATTCAATCCATAACATTTTGCCCTTTGTCTCCCAGAATTCATATCCTTCCCACGTGCAAAATACTTTCACCCCATCCCAGCATACCCAAAAGTCTCAACCTGTTCAGCATGAACTTTTTACAAAAATCTCATCTTCTATTCTTACATGTGTATTTGTGCTACAAAAATATCTATATACTTCATAGAAAGTAACGGGACAGGGTTGAAGTAGCTTCTCAGTGACAATCAAGTACCTTAAGGGAGAGAGTCACCAGGCCTGTGGGCTTGAGTACATAAAAATCTTGTTTTACATCCTTCTTTGGTGAGTAGCGACTGGGGTCTTAAAAGCATTCAAGGGACCATCTAAAATGCCACTATTGGTCTCCCCATATCTGGAGCAAAGAAGAGTGAAGAAAATCAAAGTCAAATGGAAACAATTAGTCCAAGGATATGATGGACCATGGGGACCTCAGCCTTCATGACCCTAAGACCAGAAAAACTAAATATTGCCTTGCTATCAATACCAACCACTTGGAAAGGGATCATAATTGGAGATCCTGGATAGAGTCAGAGGAAAAATGTGTAACAAAATTCAAAAACACAAAAATGACCAGAATTATTGGTCAGAGACTGGTGGAACCCCTGAGGTGGTGGCTGCGGGTTATCCCTCAGGCCTAGAACTGGACTCACTTCTATGGATTAGCTCTCAGCCAAACAGTAGAAAGGCCTACAAGCAGAACACCTCCTCAAGGGAATGGCATCCACCTACCCTAGAGAGATGCACCCCTTGGATCAATCAACTGTGAGACATCAAAAGAGCAGTATTTGCATAGAGGGAAAGCTGGACCGACAGGAATGCATAGATAAGAAGGGCACAGGGAAGGGGTAGTCACAGGGAGGAGAGCTTTTTATTGTTGGGATTATAATTGGGGCTGTGAAACCAAATGTGCATGAACTATTGAGAGTAAAATAAATCTGCTTCTTAAATTTGCACCCAAATCACAGTAAAAATTTTATAAAAGGAAAGGCCAGGATGGCGCCACACAGCTGGCCTCAAACATGGGTGTCCCGGGCAGTGTGGGGACAGCCAGTGAAGTCGCCTGCTGCAGACCAGGGCTCTCAAGATGCTGCTCAGAGGTTGGTGGACAAGTGGATGATCAGCGAGATCCTAGTATCATGTCAGAATGTGTGACCCCACCCACTTGGCCACTTCCAAGCCACCTGACTTTGGGCACTTAGGTGAGTCATGGGTGTCCTCTTTGTTACCTATGACAAGACCAGGCCCAGACCCTCCAAATTCCCATTCTTATCTATATAAAAGATGGACCAAACTCCATTTGTCTGCATTGATCCATGGAAATAAAATGTCCACACTTCTTTAAAAAAAAAAAAAAAACTTATATATATATACACCTAAAGCAGGTATCCATGAGATTCTGGGAGAATAATCCATCCTGGGGCAAAATTCCTTTCCATCTATGGACCTACAAAACCTAGAATAGAAGTTACCACCAAAATACAATAGTGGTACGGTTATAGGATAGACACTATGATTCTAAAAGGGAGTAATCTGAGGAAAAGAAAGTTCAGTTCACAGTTTCAAAGTAATTCTAATATCCAGCAGGGAAGATGTCATTAGATCTCAAGGCTTAAAAATAATCCTCTATAGGAAGCTAGGCTATTAAATAATTTGCCTAGCTTCCTGCATGCTGCCTCTCCACCCCTAATTCTCCCATCCCTGCTCCTGAAGGGACTCGGCCCTCCTCAGTCATTCTGAGGGAATCTAAGGAACCCTAGGTCAGCATTCAGTGACTTGGTAGCAACCTGCTCAGCCACTGCAGGCTTCCAGTCTAGTAATACAGTTTTTGTTCATGCAACCAAACCTTACACCTCAGCTTTAGTCATTTGGGCTCTCCATTCCTTTGTACCTGAGTTCCCTCTTGCCTGTCCCCTTTATCCCATATTGATTTCCACTTCTTGAATCCTTATTTGATCTGGGCTCTGGTTCCCAACGTCTGTGTTCTGGACATCTAATTCCTATGACTTGCATGCAACTCTACTTCCTCCCAGCCCATTTGGATAAAGATGAGGATAGTCCCCAGATAAGGGACAAAGGGACCTAGACCTTGTGGTTCTGTGGTCAAGTAAGAGTCTGGCTTGTAAATGGAGCCTCCTGGAACAAAGTGTCCTCTGTAATTGGGCTTTTCCAAGGCCTTTAAGATTAAAGGAAGGAGAAGAAATGTGCACCCCACAGTCTGATACTATCCTGGCTAATGCGTAGTGATGGATATTTTTTGTTTTGTTCTCTTTTTGTTTTTGTTTTCAAAAGAGATCTCAAGAAGAAACCAAGTATTGTGGTTGGCTTAAAAGCGGAAGTGTCTACTACCCTCTGTTTAGAAAGATACTGTCCCCCATGTTCTGCTTAAACAAGTAAATTGAAGTTGTTTGTAACTGTGATACTTGGGTCTGAGGATGCTGTTGCTATCAGTTTCCCACTTCCTGAGCCTCACTCCACTGGAGTCACTAGCAGGAAGCCTGGCATTTGAGAGTGTCCAGCCTTACCCTGCTCCAGATCAATTCCAGGAATACTATGGCAGAACATATTCTCTTCCCTTGCATAATCATGAGTATAATAATAGGATTTATTGAGCCATGTCTCCCAGTGTTCTAAGCCCTTTACATGTACTATCTCATTTAATTTCTTAACATTGTGAAATACATGTGATAGTTATCCCCAGTGGAACATTAGAAAACTGAGGCATGGATAGATT